GTTTATGGATATAAATAATGTCCATTGAATACTTTGAATTACTTTAAAAACAAGGAATATTTTTTTATGTAGATTTTAAACATAATTTTAATACAAAATAATTTTTTTTATTTTTGTTAACATTTATAAATGAGCACATGTAATATATAAAAACATTTCACCACAGAACAGTATTTTGGCAGAACCGATTTTGTACAAATTTAACCCTAGCTCTTCTTAAAAATTTAAGTTAATTAATTTGAAATATTAAAGAAACCTATAATAAGGATAATATCTATTGTTTTATAACTTAGGCAAAAGCAAATAATTCGCATAAAACATAAATTAAGATATTAATTAGTCTACTTTTTATTAAAATTGTTTATAGTTTTTTTTTTATATTCATCCTCTCTTATTTATCAATTTGAATTGTATAAATTATTTTAAATATGACCGAGTAATAATTACCATAATATTTAAATATTGAGTATTATGGAAAATATATTATAATTTTATTTGAGTTTTTTTTTCAGAAAAAAATAGTTATAAGAGAGAATTAATTAAAAAAAATTGTTGTTGTTAGATTGATATCATATTTAACTGTTCGCATATGCTTTAAGATATGTCATAAATTAAAGTTATAAAGACAGTTTAAAATAACGTGTTGTCACACGTTGCAGAAGACCGTTTCAGAGATTGTGTTCTCACATACGTAGAAAACTGTTTCAGAGAACGTGTTCTCACATGTTGCAGAACACTGTTTCAGAGAACGTGGCAGAAGACTGTTTCAGAAAACATTACCGCTAACGTTTCAGAGAACATTACAGATCCACTGTCAAGTCTTTCCATAACTGCTACAAACTTTCTCCTATAAATAGATATCACTTCACACTCTTCAGAAAGACACCTCTCATCTGTTATCCTGGGTAAATTTACTCTTTTGATAGTTTCTTGCTAGTTTACGAGATCTTCGGATATTTCAAGAAATTCTCGTTGTATCCTGGCGGACTTGCGCAATATACCGCGGATAAGTCTTTAAGGGCATTGCTTATACACGTCTCAAGAATAAAATTTGTCTATGTCTCGATAGCTTTTACCACAATAATTACCATAATATTTAAATATTGAGTATTATGGAAAATATACTATAATTTTATTTGAGTTTTTTTTCATAAATAAATAGTTAAAGAGAGAATTAATTAAAAAAAATTTCTTGTTATCAAATTTAACTGTTCGCAAATGCTTTAAGATATGTCATAGATCAGATATGTGATGTTAAGGGTAATAAAATTGTGTTTATTATTATTTATTTTATTATCATACTTACATAATTTACATGAGGAATTACTCGATTAACCATTCAAGATTTATTATTATAATATATATTATAATATTGAAAAATAAGTTATATATAATTATTATGTAAATTGTTTATGATCACAGGATTATTATTACATTTACATGAAGATATCACTATTAAACTGATTTAAAAGGAAAATTCGTAATGATTAATATAACCTTTGAAAGTTAATAGGATTTTTTTTTAAGATAAATATATAATTTTTTTATACTTAAAATTATCATGGTAATTAACAAGTTATTTATTATATTTTAATATTGGACACTTAAGATTTTGTGATGTTAGTTAAATGATTATGGGATATAATTAAATCTTTGTGGGATTAATGATTTATCAAGAAAAAATCCATCAAGTTTTGGTAATGAATTTGAGCTGTAAAAACACCTTAGGCAGGATATTATGAATAAAAGAAGAAAAAATTTTCTTAAATAATTTATCACATGTTATCTTATTAAAATTTGACAATTATATCATATTCTAAAATTAACATAAAATTGAAAAAAAAATTATATAAATTTTTTAATGATTCTAAAGTAAAAAGTACTTTATGTTATCTAATCATTAAAGAATGTTGCTAGATGTCAACCTTAATTAGTAAATTAATGAAGCGTTAGTAATAAACCTACAAGATCACACACTAACAAGTGTTATGATTTTTGTTGGATAAAAAATATTATTGATTAAAATAAAAAGTTTAATTTTATCTAATTAATATTTTTTTAAATTAGAATATTATTGTATTTTTTGCTAGCACCAAAAATACAATTAATATATAATTTTAGAATCTGTAAAATTAATTAAGTGAGACTTAGTAAAATTAATTATTGTAATATGATGTTATTGAAAATAATAAAATAAAAAAAGGAAGTCAAAAAGATATTGTGAGAAAATTTGAATAAAATAATTATTAAATTGAATCCATAATTATGAACAAAGACTTTTTTATGAGATAGATAACGTTTATAGTAAATAGTAAAATATCTCTAAGTACACTTTATATATTAGACGAACTTGCAAAGGAGAATACACACAGTTCTTTACACATTTCACTAAAAGTTCTTTCACATCTCTTTATAAGTCAATCACAAATTATAGTTCTGTACGTCAAGTATTGATAAAAAAATTAGTTTTGATGTGAATATGCATAAGATCTTTATACGTTTAAAGAAAATAACTTTAACATTGCTATATCTTTTTAGGTGATTTTTAGATGTTTTATTTATTTTATTTTTGTCTAATAGGCATGATTTAGCCACTAAAATTTAATTATTTCTGCTGCACAAAGGTAACCAACCTTCTCAAACCCTATCCGATCATCCTTATTCGACAAAGACAACGTAATTAGAATAATAATACTAGGTTGAAGCATTCGTAACCAAAGTACTTTATGCTAATTAAAATCAAAGCAAAAAGCTACAACGTCAGTGAGGGTAGGTTGATTGGTAACATAAAATATATTCTAATGTTTATATATTGTTTTTTAATATGTAGTGATATATGACCTGTTCTATACTACAAAACTATAATTAAAGTTCTTAGTTTTTATATTGCATTTTTCTTCTTCCAACATATATAAGAAATATCCATGAATTATTTTTATATCGTTTTGATTCACAATCGCACACAAGTTTCAAATTATATTATCGTAGTAAAATACATAATATCTCAAATAATAAATAAAATTAATAACAACACAAGTTTATACTCTAAAATTACCCAAACATTATCGTGATAAAGTACCTAAGAATTAAAATATTAGTTAAAATTTTAGTGTTCATAACAACACAAGTTCGTAAATAATAAAAAAATAAACAAAAGATAGTTTAACCCATAATTAATCACAAAACCTATTCGAATCACTGGTTTTTACTAAATTGGTCATGTTAATAAAACCGGCCTGATTTTCACAATGCTATTGGGCCCACTGATAAAAGGTATTTTTTTTCTAATAACAAAATTACGTTATTGGGCCCACCAGCACACATGGTCCAGATTCTAAACTGAGAGAGGGGCTTCATTTTGATTTAAAATTAAGTAGTATTACTCGCCCAACGCATTAATTGTTATATTATATATTGAAATAAATAATATAAAAAAATAGCAAGAGAATTTTTTATATTGTTAAAAAATTACTAATAATATGATTTATAATAACGTTCGATTGAGGATAACTTGTAATATTATTCCATAAATTAATATAAAATTAGTAATACAAATATAACATAAAAAAATAGTTTAATATATTCCTATTATAACAACATTGTATCTAAGCCGAATAGTTAAAATATTTTTTTTAGACTACATTTTTTATAAATATACATACTTTTTTATTTTCATCCAATATCATAATTTTCAATCATTTCTTTATTTCTCTTCTAAATACGGCATATATAATTGATAGTATATATATAATATGGTAGATATATATAGTCTCACTTTACACAGTGATTAACCTTTATTTTTATTTATGTTCATTGTAAAAAATGTTTTTTTTTTATCTCTTGAAAGGAATATTACAGTTAAAATTAAAAAAAATGTGCCGTATATATATTTTATTGTCTTGAAATAAAAAGTATAAGAAATTGAACATTGATATAGTAGAGAACAAGAATGTAAAACTGATTATATATCCTTAAACATTGAACACAAGAACATTTAATAAAAAGAGTCAAAGATCCTTTGAAAATTGGACCTTGGGTTGAGATTGTTACGAAGTCCAAGATTAAGCCCAATTGTCAAACAAAAAAATAAGTTAGTGAAAGTTGAAGTGTAGTTTTACAATTCAACTTTTTGTTTTTCTTTTTAATAATTTCTGTTTTATGATCGAGCCAACTTGTAATAATCTATGACATAAATTATAATTTTAATCACAATGCATTTTTTTTTGTTCTATAGTTTAGCTTTTAATTAATATATTAGGTATTTATTTTTCCAAAATTCAATTTTATATAACTTTCCTTTTATTAACTGCTCATACATCTAATAAGGTATATGTTTTTTCCTTCCATTTCTGTTGTTAAATTAGTATATCTCGGAAACTTTCATTATATATAAGTATCATTTGATTTATAATATATATGAATAAGATAATGATTTAATGAAAGCATATTAGGACGTGGTAGAAGTTGACAACTTGGTGTATGTTATGACTGACATAACCAATGAGCAGTCTTCGTGACTGTGTTTGCTCTATCCATATATTCCATAATATCATTACAGAATGTTGATATACTTCAATTATATTTAACAATAAAGTTTAAGCCACAAATGAAAAATGAAGAGAAAACAACCCAGAACTGAATGATATTCATTGACATAACATGCAGTCTTCACACATAATGACAGAAACCTCGACCTCCAAACCAGCATCTATGAACAGCTGAGGTTTCCCTACTATATTTTATTGAAAACCAAACAATGATATAGACAACCTTGCATATACTAAATCATATGTATATATCTCCCAAATAAATGGAAAAAACTTGTAAGAAACAAACAAGCTACGACCTTAACTTTATGAGAACGTAGACAATTGCATATATACATAGTTCCCACTAATCCTCACGACACATATTTGAGTATTACAGTAAAGAATTAATAGTAGTACGTTATGTGTCATAAAAATTAGGTGAAACCACGATAATTCTGAATTAAATACTTATTAGCCATAGTTGTGATGGGCATGATCATGAGGGACTGGCACAGGTTCATAAGATGGTTCACTACCTGCAGCAGCAGCAGCATATCCAGATTCTTGAATCTCAATGGATTGATAGGAAGTGGTCACGGGTGGTGGTGGTGGTGGTGGTGGTGGTGGTGGTGGTGGGTGATGAACTGGGGCATATGGATTTGGAGGGGGTGTAGTAGGTGGTGGTGAAGGTGGAGGATATAGGGGCTTCTTTTTGAGTTTTGCAAGACAGAAAACGCCTAGTACGAGAAAAGCGACCAAGAGGCCCCCTAGAGAAACGGAAACCGCTACAACAGCTTTGTAGTCGTACTTGACAATATAATCAGGTGGAGGAGTATAATATGGAGGGGGAGGAGGAGGAGGAGGGGTGACAGTACCATTGGGAGTGCATGAGCAGTTATAGACAACTGGAGGAGAAGGAGGTTTGGTCATGTTACAATTTGGAGGCGGAGGTGGTGGTGGTGGTGGTGGTGTTGTGTAGTTTGTCATGTTGCAATGTGGTGGTGAAGGAGGAGGAGGAGGAGAATAGTATTGATATGGTGGTGGTGGTGGAGAATAGTATGAATATGGTGGAGTCATTGTAAAGTTGAAACTTTGATGAGACTGAGACGAGAGAATAATTGTTGGGATGAGTGTGGAGGTACTCAATGGAGAGCTCTATTTAAAGTGCATGGCAAGCTCAAGTCTTTCAGCTATATCTACAAGTTACATTTTGTTGGGATTAAAAATTTAGGTGACTCGACCACAACAAATTTCAAAATTAAAAAAAATGTTCACAATCATACTTATAAATCAAACTTACGTCTCTCTTTATAGAATATCATTTCATTTTTTGTGGAGTGGATTTAGTTTCATTGCTGCATACCCTGTTTTTTGGAATAAAATTTGTTATTAGAAAAAAAAAAAAACCAGCAACATGCATTTCTATTTATTATCTACAAGGAATTCATGTTAGCTTTATATATTAGCTAGTCTACAAATATCGTTTTCATTGGGTAAATTTATTTTTTTGAAGTATGAGAGTAAAGACTTAGGATTTAGGGTTATAAAATACACATGTATAAAAGTCTTTTGTGTTATTATCTAGTTAATTATAAAAGATTGTAAATTTATTAAGTTTTATAATAATTATTTCTGATCGAGTCTTAACCTTTTTATTACTGACGCCAGAATTTTGGCTTTTAAATAAAATTTTGCTTGAATTTAAGCTCTTAATTTTTTTAGTTATCATTATAAAACTCTATTTTAGTTTCTTTTACCTAAATGTATTGTATCCTCGTTAAACTCTAACTGTTTGGATTAAAAAAAAGATTAATTAGTATTAAAATTTATATTTTATTTTTTATTTCCATTCAAAATTTCAAATATGTTTGTATTCCTCTATATCCTAGCCAGGAGCAACAAATTGATATTAGAATTAGAAGGCATGACAATTCCACGCCTACGCCACGGCTTCATTGTCATCATTCTCCGACGAGGCATTAGGGTTTTATTTTTGTTATCAATAATAAATTTATACATAATATAGCTTTTATAAATATATTAACAAGTTGAATTATGTTTATACATTACTTTATTATTAACTCAAATAATTAAGATTGTATAGTGAAGTACTATTTACTATATTTTAAAAGTATATATATTGTGTTGTAAGTGAATATAAAATAGCGTAAATAAAATTTAGATGATAAAAACTTTTTAAAAAAACTCTCAAGATTTTTTTTTGTAGACACGTATTTAATATATTAAGAATCAACAAGAGAGCAAAATTTAATTTATCCTTGATTATTTTCGTTGGTTAGAACGATGATAAAAAAACTAGTCTATGGAATGTTATTAGGGTTTAACGAATCATTCCATTGACACTAAAAAAACATATTTATTTGGCATCAAAGGAAGCTTGAGGTTGTTAGAATGGATGACATAGGTATGATATGTATGAAAAGGATAATAAACAAGTATGTTCATATTCGTGACGTAAATTGGGCATTCAGAAACGCCATATATACCTTACTTCAGATTCTTTTTGTGTTAGTTTTTTGTGGTGGTGGACAAGTAGACATAGATTAAACACAAAAATATGCATAAACTAATTGTTTTAAACTACTCCAGAGGGAGTTACACCACCAAAAACCGTGATGTTTTCAACGAAATATGCGAAGAAATTCAAAGTAAAAGATGAGTTCCGTGTGTTTCATATTATGATTACAAAACACTCACACGAGGGTTATCCTCTTTCAGAGATCTTCCCACATATGCATTCAGCTTGCTTTGCTTTCATATTGTTAATAACTTATGCACATTATTAAATACTCAATAATTTTCATATTTATTAGAATTTAATTTATTCATCCCAATTCCTCAGCAAATCTCAGTTTCTTTTTGAGGTTTTAGTTCGTCTCAATTAAAAGTGTTCCAGTAAATTAAGAAAGAAAAATATATATAGTTGATGACTAAGGAGTGAAGACTCTGAACGTACCAAAAATATATTAAAGAATAAAAGTGAAAAATAAGTATACAAAAACATAAATGTTAATAACTAAAGAGTATGAATTAAGAAAATTCTATTTTTGACCTCCTAAAAGACATCAATGTTTCATCTAGGAACAAAAATATGTCAGTGTTATATTTATCAAGATAATTAATTATTATTTTAAGGTATTATTCGTTTTAAAATTAAAATCCGTTATGAATTTGTCTTTACAAATAGATTGATAAAAGATGTATATAAATTATCTACTATCTAATCTCTTAATCGGTGTGAGGCTCACCATAATCAGGTATGAATTAAGTTTGCTAAGTATATTTATTGTTTTTTTTTTTTAATAAAGGCAATGCAACACTAATAAAAACTATTTTTCATATAGAAATATCATATAATTAAAATGCAAATAATTTCAACGTTGTTTTCGCTAGTAAATGATATACATAATTTTTTAATGATCGCTTACCAACAAATTTCTGGTAGTTATAAAGGAGGAATTCGTAATTCGTACTTCATGAAATATATAAACCTTAATACAACTTGGTATAGTGGGAATATATATGAAACACGTGGGAATAGGTGTTATTAAATATACTATTTTTAAATAATTTTATTCCTACATAAAGAAATACATTCGCGATATTATAGAAAACCATTAGAACAAGGATTAAGTCAATATGTATTTATACATAGAGTCGAAAGATAAGGATCAAATTATACATGTGACTAGTATATGTCAACAGCTTGTTGATTTTGTTTATCTAACAATTAAATTATAGTTTTATATTATTTGGGTTGTTTATGTTAAATTTTATAAAAAAAGTACTCAAATTTGTTGACATTTTAGTATATTTCAAAAGTTATATATTACACTAATTTTAATTTATATAAATTAAATGTTAAATAATTTAGACTAAAATATAATTTTAAATTGTAAAAATGAGTTATTAATCTGATATAAAAAATAATTTTAGAAAGTAATAATATATATATATATATATATATATATATATAATTATTTGTAAATTTTAGTGTAAGAATTATCACTATAGTGAATAAGGGTTCTAATAAAGCGTTTAGAACTAACTATTTTAAAATCGATCTTTATTGTATAGGTATAACAAAAGGGTGGAGAATGTGGGTTTTGTCTTTCCAATTTTTACTTTAATTTTTTTTAATCGTTTTCGTTTTTTACCGATCGTTATAAATTAAGTTTTCATAGTTGAATTTTGGGTTTTTTCCACCACTAATCTATTTCCATTGGACATTTAAAAATATATATAATTATACTAATAATAAAATAATTTTAATATTTTTTATAAAAAAATATTTGCAATTTTATAATTTTTAATTATTATTATTATTATTAATTTAGTACATAGTTTAATTTATTATTATATATATATATATATATATATATATTAAAATATGTATATATAAAAAATTAATTAATTTTTTTATATGCTATAAAATCCTTATTATAATAATAATAATAATAATAATAATATTATTATTATTATTATTATTATATACTATTATCATATATATATATATATATATATATATATATATATATATATAATTTAATCAAATATTTTTTAAGTTATCCTTTTAAAATATTTATAAATATAAAATATATAATTTAAATAAAATAATAAGTTGTTTTTTATTTAATTAATTTAAAATAATGAAAATTTTAATTATTAAAATTTTTTAATAATTTAAAATATTATTATTTTATTAAAATATAATTTAATATATGATAAATAAAAATAATAAAATCTAAAAATATAATATAATAAAATTTAATAAAAATAAATTAAATATAAAATAATATTATTACTAATATTGACTTAGAATATTTAAAAAAAATAAAAAAGAAAAAAAATTAACTTTATGTTAAAAAAATTAAAAAAATTAAATTAACGAAAGAAATTAAGAAAATATAAAACAATTAAAAATAAAAAAGAAAAAAATAATGTTATAAATTTATCAACCTAAAAATTGAAAAAAAAAGAAAGAAAGTAAAAAGTGAATAAAAAAAATAAAAGAAATAAAATATAAAAAATATCTTGTATATAATATAAAAAAATAAAATATTTTATAATTTAAAATTAAATATAGAATAAGGCCAGAAATCAAGTCGAAGATTATATTATTCATCTACCTCTCAACCGTTATCCTTATTTGTTTTTTAATACATATTCTCATTTAGTTCAACTTTATTTTATTCAATCAAACTTGGAAATAGAGACAGATATTAATCTCGTAAATATAAATTTAATTGTAATCTCTAATAAATTTAATGGTTAATTTAAATAAATAAATTTTAATTAAATTAAAATAAACTAAAAAAATTAGGATAAAAGTGGTAAAATTGAAAAAATTAATTGTATTTTTTAAAACCAATTTTGATAAAAGAAAATTAAGATTAGTTTTTTTTAATATATTTTAATTATTTTTTATCTTATATTAATTAGATTAATTTTAATTATTTTATTATATATATTTTTTAAAAATTATTTATCTTATAATTTCTATTATATATATAATCTTCATTATAATTTGAACCGTATGAAAATAATTTTTATAATTTATTTTTATTGTAAAAAATATTATTATGAGTGAACTTATTATAGATTTATTATATTATAAAAATATTATGTTATTAAATTGGATTAACTTAAATGGAATCCAAAGTTAAGCTTTTAAATCCATAAATAATTTATTTACCAATTTAAAAAATTGATTTTACCATACTCTCCCATTTTATAGTTATACTTCTCTCACTATTTTAGCCATGAAAAAAAAAACGAAATGGTGCATTAAAAGCTGGTTTAGTTTTATTTTTCTTCACAGTTTTAATTTGCATATGATGAATTATATATTAAGTTCATAATTATTTATAGTTCAAATAATATATAAAAGTAATAACTTCCAAACAAATGGAAAATAAAATATTAAGAATTAAATTATAATGTGTTATGACGGTGGTGGCTCAGATTGTGATGCGAGTGATCCTTTCTCTCGTTTGTTTTCATTTCCTCTATCAAAATACCTTCTCTCTGCCGTTCTCCATTAACAATACAGTCACAAGCAAACGTGTATGGAACATATTTTCAACGAAGAAGACCGTCTTCTAATAAAGTCAACGCCGCACTATGGATCCAACACTCATTCTCTCTTCCATCGATCATGTTCCGAATCCAAGAATCTCTGGCAAATCGCCGCCCCCTCCATCTTCACCCGCCTCGCCATGTTTTCCATCACCGTCGTCACCCAGTCCTTCGCCGGTCACCTCGGCGACCTCGACCTCGCGGCCATTTCCATCGCCTGTACCGTTCTCATCTCCATAACCTTAGGTTTCATGGTACTACCGACTCACTTGTCAATTTTCGTTCACCATTTCCCACTCGTGTTAGTCAACATTGTATTCATTGCGTTTTTCCTTTTCTAGTTGGGTATGGCGAGTGCGCTTGAGACGCTATGCGGCCAAGCCTACGGCGCCGGACAGCACCGCATGTTGGGCGTTTACCTGCAACGCTCGTGGGTGGTTCTGTCCCTGTCCTCGATTCTGATGCTGCCGGTGTTCGTGTTCGCTACCCCGCTGTTGATGTTGGTGGGGCAGCCCATCGCGGTGGCGGAGCAGGCGGGGCTGGTGGCGATCTGGTTGATTCCGTTTCACCTCAGTTTCCCGTTTCAGTTCACATTGCAGCTGTTCCTGCAGTGCCAGTTGAAGACCGGTATCGTTGCTTGGGTTTCAGGGGTGGCCCTTGCGATTCATGTTTTAATTAGTTGGATATTTGTTTATAGGATGAAAATAGGGATCGTTGGCGCTGCACTTTCCATTGGTTTCTCGTGGTGGCTCTCGGTTTTGGGAATGCTCGGCTATACACTCTTTGGTGGGTGCCCGCGTTCGTGGACTGGTTTTTCTGCTGAAGCTTTTGTTGGTCTCTGGGAATTCTTTAAATTCTCTTTGGCTTCTGGGGTCATGCTTGCGTTAGTATTTCTCAACCTATTTCTATTTCCCACTTTTGGCATTGTTTGGATAAACACGTCTACAGTAAGTAGATATCAAAGTAAACTAAATTAATTTTTTATTATAAATTACAATTAACTTGTGTGTGCTTAAACTCTTGTAAAAAAGCTCTCTTATTTGACTTTTTCAAAAGCTGAGTTGAATAAGTTTATTTTAGCATAAGTAATAATTTTGATTCATTTTGTCTTTTATTTTCTTGACTAAAGTGTATTAGAAATTTGTGTGAAAATGATCTTATTTAGGAAAATACTTGGATACATTTCTATAAATAATATTTGTACCGTTTTTAATTAGAATTGAAATTTCACTCTGCTAGGTTGGATTAAAGAACTATGTAGGTTCTTAACTTTGAGGTTGATGTGCTTATTAGTGTTGTTGATGTGACTTTGCAGGTTAGAGAATTTCTATTACAGACTCTTGCTTATAGTATCCGGATATATGCATAACACTGAGATCGCAATTGATGCTCTTTCTGTTTGGTAAATATGTGCTTTCTTAGTTTTTCTTTCTAATGTAGTCCTATATTGCTTTATTGGACTTTTTCTGAATTTAAGTCCAACGTGGCATGGCAGTGTGACGATATATGGCTGGGAATCCATGATACCGCTTGCATTTTTGGGTGCAACCGGGTATGTCACTGGTTGTAAGTCCTCCTTTCTTACTCTCTTGAAATAGGTTATACTATGTATTTTAGGGAAGGAGAAATGTTTAACTAGATTGAAAACTTAGTTTTGAGTATTCCGTGATGTACTACTCAACTGTAATTAATGTCCAGAAGCAGAACCCTGCAAATCCATACAAAACAGTCCAGGTGTGATTTTGTTGATTGATTCTGACAAGTTTATGGACTGATAATACTTTGAACTTTGATTTGCTTTACGAGAGTGGTACCCCTTCCATGTATAAATATCCAGATAAAATTCCTATGTTTGAGATATTGTTTCTTTTAGATCTTTCTTCGATCTTCTGGTTAAGAGAGTAAAATGTATATAAACTATTCTTGATCTCAATAATAGAGCTCATTGGGAGGTGAAGGACCATGAATACTAAAAAATTTTATAACTTACATTATCATTTATGATATCAGATCTTGATTTATCGTTTAATTTTGGTGTGAATTTTCTGGAGTAGTATTGTTTTCTTTCCTTAAATTTATTAAGACCTACACCTACCATATTCTGATTACTAATTCTCCAAACTGTAATAATTTACCCAAAACATTCAGTCAGTTTGTCAACTCAGTATGTAGTCTTGCGACAACGCTCGCACTAGTTGAACTCTTGGAGATTATGATCATATCAAAATACACCTTTCTGTTGAAAAACTGAAGCATTTCCATGTTTGAGATGTTTCGCTTGCTTTATCTTTAGAAAAGTAAGAACCAGACACTGAAGGTCGAGAATGACAGATCGACATTCCCGCCTCAAGTTTTGTAATTTAAGCATTAAGAATATTTTACAAGTATACAAGGAATTTAAAAGCTTCCGAAAGCTTACAACGTTCTTCAAAAACAGTCCACAACTATCTTTGAAAGTTTTCAAGATTTCCACCATTTTATTCCGAAATGTACCCACTTTTACATGGAACTTCTTAAAAAATCCTCTGATTCTATTCAAGAAATTGGTCTAGTTTAAGGGAAATGTAGAAAGTGTATTGCAACATCAACTTGTCTCAGACGTCTTGGTAGAGGTTGTATTACGAATCTACGATGTAAGTGCAAGTAGACGTAGCTTCGAAATAGCTAATCAGGGTCTGTAAGTCAGCTAATAATCTCAAATATGATTTCTTCAATACTATGTCTCAGAAAATAGCCATACAAGAAAAAAATTCATTTGTTCATATAAAAAAGAACTCTCCCTCGATACAAAACCAACTTGTTTTTTATCCCTTTAATCATATGACATTCTTCAACTCAGGGTTCGTGTTGCAAACGAGCTTGGCGCAGGCAATGCAAAAGGTGCAAAATTTGCAACTGTGGTTTCTGTGGCAAATACTGTACTTGTGGGACTTATATTTTGGTTGGTAATTGTGTTCTTCAACAAGAATCTTGCCCTGATCTTTACATCGAGCTCCTCCGTCATCCAAATGATCAATGAACTGGCAATGTTGTTAGCTTTTACTGTTCTTCTTAATTGCATTCAACCAGTTCTTTCAGGTAAGTAACAGACCTTTTGATATAAGCACTGAACTCAAATTTCACTTGGACATTATCGCTTTTGCTGGTATCTGTTGGTCTTCAGGGGTGGCAGTAGGGTCTGGTCGTCAAGCAGTAGTGGCATATATAAACATTGGCAGTTACTACTTGGTTGGAATACCTCTTGGGGTTCTCTTAGGCCGGTTGCTTCCTTCGGGTATTGTTGTAAGTGTATCTATTGTTAGAATTAATTTAATTAATTCATTCTATTATGTGACTCATGTGAAATATAATAATGGGGCCAAATGTGATTTAATAAAATATGAGGACCGATTGGTTATTATGTGAAGTTAGAATAAAATAAAGATAAAATAAAAATATTAATTTACGGTAACCAACTTGATGGACGTTGGTTAATAAAATAGAATAAGGGTTCTGTCTCTGGTCATAAGGTTTTTTCACGGTAAACCATCAAGAAAACGTGAGAAGAGAAAGAAAGACAAAGAGATAGATTGGGAAAAGGAGATTGGAGAACGAGAAGATTTAAGAATATATTTTCATGGAACAAGGTTAGTTCTCTTCTTATGATTCATGTATGTTATGTTGTGAAAATCAATAATCTAAAGATCCTGTAGAGTAGTTTTCCATAATAAATTAAGAACGTAGGAAAACTACATAATGTTTTACATGTGGTATCAGAGCCAGATTATTAGATTTATGATTTTCCTTTTATGAAAATATTTCTCAAATGATGTTTTTTTCCAAATTAAGATAAACCCTAATTATGAATTTAGGGATTTCTTTATCAGATTAGTACGAACCCTAATTTATTCCCAAATTTTATTTTTCTCAAAATTAAATAAAGGAATAAACCCTAATTATGTTTTCAAGTTCAAATTGAAACCAATTTTATAGTCCCTATGCGTGAATGACCCTGTAATCCTTTCTAATTGAAAAGGCAAATGACGTGATAGGGTTAGGATGAATCATGTATGAAATTAGTTTCATTGTATGTTATAAGTATGATGAGATGGTATGATGAAATGTTATAATTATGATGGAAGAATGGTAAACTCGTAAAGTTGATAAACTTTGCGCGTAGAGAGCACGTGTTAAACACAGGTTTCATATATTATATTATATTATTTATAATATTATTTTGTAAGTACATATTTTTTTTAAGAGTAATATAAAGCTTTGTTATGGGTACTCGTAAAACTTTGTTATGGGTACTGTAATCGTAAATTTTTTTAAGGTACTCGTAAAGCTTTGTTAAGGTTGTTAATGTACTATGAAGCTTTGTTAAGGTTGTTAATATAATGTTTTGTTAATGTACTCGTGAAGTTTTGTTAAGGTTAATGTACCTGTGAAACTTTGTTAAGGTTGTTAATATACTATTTTATTAATGTACTGTGAAGCTTTGTTAATGTACCTATAATGTAAACATTGATAAATGAATGAATCTTGTTTTGCAAACTGAATTGTATTGTTTCCACTGTGTTTAAATTACTCATAAAAGTTTTGAATGGATGACAATTTTACTTTTACGTGAAATGCAAATAAAGGTCTTGGATTGAAAATCAATCTTAGGATGAAAATTGAAATTATGAGTTTCAATTTTATTTATGACACATAATATTTTATTATGTGAATAATGTACATATTTATTAAAATTAATAAAAAAATGTTATGAATGGTTAATAGCAATTAAAGATATTATTTATTTGAAATTAAGCATGATAAATTTTGTTAGTCACCAAAGTGACCAAAATTTTAAGGTTATTTTGATTTCAAATTATTAATGATTTTATTTCAATTACCCATAGTATGAACGCTAAAATTATGAATATTTGATTTATGGGTTAATTGAAGTTCATTATTATAAGGCATTTCAGGATCACCCAAAGGTTGATTAGTTGTTATTATAATTAATGAACATGAAAGTAGATAATTTTGTGTGCGCCACTAGTTTTATTTATATACCCAAAGGTATTAAGTGATTCTAGTTGATGCATATTTTAATTATCATTAATGTTATAAAAAGATTAGCGTAATTATGTTTGTGTATTAGTGAATCTCCCAAAGGAGAACATTAGTATGCATAGAATGGTTATTTATGTTTGAATCTGTATTTATGTTTAGTTTTTATGACTCAAAGCGTTAATGTTAGATATGTGTTAATTGAAATATTTGTTTATATATTTCTACATTCGCTTACTTCGTCTGTTCCAGTCTTTAATAGATTTAATTCCCTGACTGGAGTAAGAAAGTCCAATTTCACTTAGGTGAGTTGGATTTTGATTTGGCTTTCTAAGTTGAAAAATCAGCTGTTATCACTAATGCTAGTAGCAACAAAGAGAAAACTCATTATAGAGTTTGGAAAAGGTCAAACAGACTTAGTCTTATGTTTATGCGAATGAATATTGCAAGCAATATTAAGTATGCTTTTTCCAAAACTAAGGACGTGAAAGAATTTATGAAATTTATGGAAGAGCGTTCTCAAACTGCTGACAAATCCCTCGCTGGGACATTGATGAGTACGTTGACCACCATGAAGTTTGATGGTTCTCGTAGTATGCATGAACACGTAATCGAAATGACAAATATCGCAGCAAGACTCAAGTCTCTTGGAATGGCAGTGGAAGAAAATTTTCTTGTGCAGTTCATTTTGAACTCATTACCGCCTAAGTATGGTCCGTTTCAGATGAATTATAACACCATGAAAGACAAATGGAATGTGCATGAATTACACAGTATGTTAGTTCAGGAGGAGACCAGACTCAAGAACCTAGGAAGCCACTCTATTCATTACGTGAAAAATCAAGGAGCTAAAAAGAAAGTTGTTAAGAAACATGGAAAGGGTAAATGACCATTAAAGATTAACGAGTCATCTACTAACATTCAGAAGAAAAATGACAAATGTCATTTCTGCAGGAAGTCTGGACATTTTCAGAAGGACTGTTTAAAGCATAAAGCTTGGTTCGAAAAGAAAGGTGAGCATAGTGCTTACGTATGTTTTGAATCAAATTTAACTAAAGTTCCCCATAATACTTGGTGGATCGATTCTGGATGTACAACTCATGTTTCTAATGTGATGCAGGGATTCCTTTCAACCCGAACCATAAACCCAAATGAGAAGTTCGTCTTCATGGGAAATAAAGTCAAGGTTCCAGTGGAAGCTGTCGGGACTTATCATTTAATCCTTGACACTGGATATCACTTAGACCTTATGGATACTTTTTATGTACCTAGTATCATTAGAAATTTAGTTTCTTTGTCTAAGCTTGATGTTATTGGATACTCTTTTAAGTTTGGGAATGGTTGTTTCAGTTTCTTTAAGCGTACTTCTATGATTTGATATGGTTAGGAGTATGTTAAGTAATTCATGTTTACTTGTATCGTTGTGGATGTATGCTTTGAAGACTGTCATGTATCTGTTGAACAGGGTTCCTAGTAAAGCGGTTCAAAAGACTCCTTTTGAGTTATGGACAAGTAGGAAACCCAGTTTAAGACACCTACATGTTTGGGGTTGTCAAACAGAAGTAAGAATTTATAATCCGCAAGAAAAGAAACTGGATGCAAGAACAATCAGTAGATATTTCATTGGTTATCCAGAAAAATCAAAAGGGTATATGTTTTACTGTCCTACCCATAGTACAAGAATTGTTGAAACTGGAAATGCTCGGTTCATTCAAAATGGTGAAGCCAGTGGGAGTGAAGCTTCACGAAATGTGGAGATTAAGGAAGTTAGGGTACAAGTTCCAATAACTAGTACATCTTCAAGAGTTGTTGTTCCAAATGTTGTAGAATCACACGACAATCAAGAAGAACAACAAATTAATGATCATGCGATTAACAATGATCCGATAATAGAACAACCACAGGAAATAGTATTAAGAAGATCTCACAGAGAAAGAAAGTCTGCTATTTCGAATGATTACGTGGTTTATCTACAAGAGTCAGAAAATGACCTAAGTATTGATAATGAACCAGTTTCATTTTCAGATGCCATTAATGGTGATAATTCTGACAAATGGTTAGATGCTATGAAAGATGAGCTCAAATCAATGACACATAATGGTGTATGGGATCTTGTGGAATTGTCAGAAGGATGTAAGAGTGTTGGGTGTAAATGTGTGTTTAAGACTAAGCGTGACTCTCATGGCAATATCGAACGTTACAAGGCCCGACTTGTTGCCAAAGGTTTTACTCAGAAAGACGGCATTGATTATAAGGAAACATTTTCATCTGTTTCTAAGAAAGATTCCTTTAGAATTATCATGGCATTAGTAGTTCATTATGATCTTGAGTTGCATCAAATGGATGTTAAAACTGCTTTTCTGAATGGAGATTTAGAGGAGGATGTTTATATGAATCAACCAGTGGGGTTTATTAAAGAAGGAAATGAACATATGGTGTGTAAACTTAAGAAATCAATATATTGACTTAAACAAGTTTCTCGACAATGGTATCTTAAGTTCAATGATACTATTTTGTCCTTTGGATTTAAGGAAAACACTGTTGATCAGTGTATATATCTGAAGGTCAGTGGGAGCAAGTTTATATTTCTGATTCTGTATGTTGATGATATCTTGCTTGCGACTAATGATTTTGGTCTATTAAGTGAGACTAAGAAGTTTCTCTCTAACAACTTTGAAATGAAAGATATGGGTGAGGCATACTATGTGATAGGAATAGAAATATTCGGTGATAGATCACAAGGACTGTTAGGTTTGTCTCAGAAAGCATATATTAATAAAGTTTTAGAGAGATTCAGAATGGAGAAGTGTCCAGCATCTCCCGTTCCAATACAGAAAGGAGACAAGTTTAGTCTCATGAAATGTCTAAAGAATGACTTGGAACGGAAACAAATGGAAAATATCCCTTATGCATTTGTTGTTGGCAGTTTGATGTATGCTCAAACATGTACGAGGCCAGATATTAGCTTTGCAGTTGGTATGCTTAACTGGATCATTGGAAGGCTGCAAAGAAAGTTTTAAGATACTTACAAGGAACAAAGAATCACATGCTTACATATAGGAAAGTTGATCACCTTGAGGTGATTGGATATACAGATTCAGATTTAGCTGATTATATGGATACACGAAAGTCTACATTTGGTTATGTGTATCTTTTAGCCGGAGGAGCGATTTCATGGAAAAGTGCGAAGCAGTCTGTCATTGCTGCATCCACTATGGAAGCTGAATTTGTGGCATGCTTTGAGGTCACAGTTCAAGCTAATTGGTTGCAGAATTTTATTTCAGGACTTGGAGTAGTCGACAGCATTGCCAAGCCGCTGAAAATTTATTGTGACAATTCCGCAGCAGTCTTCTTTTCTAAGAACGACAAGTATTCCAAAGGTGCTAAGCATATGGAATTGAAATATTTTGTCGTTAAAGAAGAAGTTCAGAAACGAAGAGTATCAATAGAACATACTAGCACTGATCTTATGATTATTGATCCTTTAACAAAGGGATTATCGCCTAAATTATTTGCTGGCCATATAATGAATGTGGGCATTATGTTCACTAGTGAATGTTGAATGTTAATGTTATTATTAATGCTTATGTGACACTTTGAGATCTTTAATGTATAAGTTTCTGAAATTTGTGTTTTCTTCTTTATTTATATGCATGCAAATTATGATGAAGAAAACAAATTATGTTATTATTTTAAAATGATATTATGTTTGAACCCATTATGGACTTCTCATTATAAAGTCATATTAAGGAGAAAGAGATAATATAGTGGTACATGGAAGGGAGCCTGTCGATTGAATGACATGTAACCGCCATGACTCTTGTTATAGCTGTATCTTTAATTATGAATAATGATAGAACCAATTTATGTAAGGTCCTTTAATGCGCATTATGATTTAAATATTAAATATATGACATCACATGAGTCAAGTGGGAGAATGTTAGAATTAATTTAATTAATTCATTCTATTATGTGACTCATGTGAAATATAATAATGGGCCCAAATGTGATTTAATAAAATATGAGGACCGGTTGGTTATTATGTGAAGTTAGAATAAAATAAAGATAAAATAAAAATATTAACTTACGGTAACCAACTTGATGGACGTTGGTTAATAAAATAGAATAAGGGTTCTGTCTCTGGTCATAAGGTTTTTTCACAGTAAACCATCAAGAAAACGTGAGAAGAGAAAGAAAGACAAAGAGATAGATTGGGAAAAGGAGATTGGAGAACGAGAAGATTTAAGAATATATTTTCATGGAACAAGGTTAGTTCTCTTATTATGATTCATGTATGTTATGTTGTGAAAATCAATAATCTAAAGATCCTGTAGAGTAGTTTTCCATAATAAATTAAGAACGTAGGAAAACTACATAATGTTTTACATCTATATCCTATACTCTTGCAGACACAACTTAAATACTCCAATCCACTCGTACATAAGTTAGAATATAATGGTCCTGATAAACTTTTTATATAATGATGATAAAACAAAATAAGATGATATATGAATTGAGGATTTTTTTGTAAACTAAAATAATTTTAGGTTTAAATAAAGTTAAATGGATAAATTATTATGAAAGTTAAGTGTACAAGTTGATTTTGATTTATGGTATAAGTTTAATTTATTTTATCTCTATATTTATTTTTAAGTGTTTATAGTTAAACTTATCCATAAAGCACTCATTTTACTTTATCCTATGTCAATTGTGGAGTTAGATAAAGTAAATTAGGCTAACCTTACGACAGAAATATGAACTGTTGAGAGTGAAGACAATACTTTTTGCGGTGCCCCTTTTGTTCTGCATGCTTAAAGTTAGTTTTCGAACGTGATGATCTATTTATTCTATGAGCAGGGAATGTGGAGTGGAATGATGAGTGGAACAGTGGTTCAAACATTGACCTTGGCTATTATTACGATGAGATATGATTGGGAAAAAGAGGTATCTAATGCTTTTCAACGCTTGGACATGACATGGAATGGAACGGTTCTGTTTTAATTCTTTGGTTTCATTTTCATCCAACAAGATTAAATTATATGATGCACTCTGTATACTCAAAATATAGACTCTATAATATATCCAATAAATAGCAACTTTGAAGTGATATACACTGTTTTCGTTTCTCTGATGAACGATTTCAGATACTTCTAACAGTCATGGTTACTTGTCGTTCGTAGGTACGGAAAGCTCAAATTCTATTAAAGCAACCTCCAACGAATAACAAAGGTGAAATTCGTATTTAATTACTTTGCTATTTAAGGTAATTGTATTTTTTTTTCCTCTTAAAAGGAGCCGCCATAATCACAGAATTGTTGTGCTGTCTAATTGCTAATATTTCACATGCTGCAATCTTCTATTGTTTTTATATATATATTTTTAACTAAAAACATAGTAAACCCTATAAAATTCTAAGTCTACTCTACGATTGTGTTTCAGGATGGATTTGAAGAGAAATTACTGATGAGCTGGAGAAAAATAAAATACATTATATGCTTCAGTATGTGAAAAGATGATACATAATCTTTTTTTTTTTCAACTAATTTACTACGTTTTACCAAAAAAAAGAGTCTTGTATAAGTTTTCCATACTCTTGTAGTGTTTGATGTTTTAGAATTGGAGGTTTGGGGTCTACCAGTTAATTTCCATATAGGTTACAGTTTATTTATAGGGTAATTTTTTTAAAAAATTATCGAAATAGATTTTTTTTAAGCTTATAAATTTGAAATAGGACTTAATAATAAAGAACTCGTGTAATATATTACACACTTTTAATTTCTTTTATATATTACATACCCTTTTTATATAATAATATCAAAAGAAACCAGGCAAGGACAAGAGAAATATATAGAAACTTGAAGAAAACCTTTTTATCAAGTATTCAAGGAATAAATAATAATATAAATTATGTTACGTGCTATAAAATTCTGCGATCAGGTATTGCTTGTTTAATTCTGTGATTTTTTAAAATTTTACGCATTTTAATAAATTAAAAAACAAATTACCTTAATTTTGTAAATAAACCCATCGATTGGGGGCAGTTAAGACTCAAACATATTATTTTAGGTTTTTACGGTATTAAGTTTTATAATGTAAGGTATTTACATATCCAGACTTGAAAAAAAAATATATTAACCTATTTAAAATATTAACAACTGCGTATACAGTAATACATCGTATGTTTAGTCACATTTAATCAATACTATTGGATAATTGATTACGAATTACCTTTTCAAATAATAATTTGTCAAATGGGCTTGAGGTGATATGTTGAACAAAGTCCAAATTGTCAATTTTCATCATATTTCCTTAGAAATCAAACATTATCTCCTTGTGCATTTGTGTCACATCTTGATTGAGGTTGCTTTCATTTTTTTATTTTTTTTTACTCAACTTAGAATTTCTTAAAGTGTTTTCAGCCACACATACAAAGTCAATTGCCTTTATGATTAACATGATATATTGAATTAAATTAAGATGGTTACTCAACTTGTGATATTGAATTCAATTAAGATACACGTGTTCTCCTTTATAAGTATACAACAATTAAGATGCTGATGACAAATTTATGCAAATTTAGTAATTATAACCATTAACAAGTATACAAGCTAAGTCATATTAAGTTTTTAAAAAAGTAACTATTACAAAGTGATTTATTTTACGATTTTTTTATATAATTTATCGTTAGAAGTAACTTACTTTCTAAATAACAGTTTTTTTTTCCTGCTTTTATTCTTTTCAAATAAGTTTATTATAATTTGTTATAATTTACAGTAAGTTATTATTATTTTATATATATAAAAAAACGTTTTTCTATAACTAATTATGGTTTGGTATAACTAGCTTTAACTTTTGTTGAAATGCTTATATAAATTGTTACATATATCCAGAAACGATAATATATATATATATATATATATATATATATATATATATATATATATATATATATATATATATATATATATATATCATAATTTAAACCATTTAAGGCTAAGCCGATTCTAATTTTGGTTTTTAAAAAAAGAAACTTTAAGATTTTGATTTATTTATTTGAATTTGTACTTTAAATTTAATAATTGTGTTGTGCCCAATTAAAAATATTTTAAAATCTATTGTGGTGTCTTTAAATACTCAATCTAATTATTAATTTAAGATATATCACAATTTATATATATCGGATTTAGTTATAATCTATTCCATTCCTGTATATACGTGTTTTTTAAATTTTAAAATTGCTTCTTCTAAACTTAGTTATGATTTAGTTATATTATTATATTGTTAACTTGTCATGTATGGTCACTGTTTTTTTTTTCAATTAATCGGATATTATAAAATTAATTAATTATTACTATACGTAAAAATAATTATAATAAGTTATCATGGTAACTCCCAACAATAAACATTTTAAGAATTTAATTTAATTCAAATAAACCAATTTATAGGCCTAGTTCAATGTTATTGATAGACTCATTTATAAAACTTGTGGAAAGTTGTTTATCAGATAGAAACAGTAATCGATTATCTCCCTTTCATAACCCTAATTATAATGAGGGAGTTAGAAAATTAGTTTTGAAAGATTATATGATTTATTTTTAAAAAGATCATAATATTTTTTAAATAAAATATATAGAAAAATAGTTATTAATAATTATAAAAATAATTTTTTTTTTTTTAAAGTGAACTTCTATGTTCTTAAATGTTGGGCTAAAGTTCTTCAATTATTAAAGTTCTTCAATTATTCACATCCTTTATGAATCAAAACTAACACTAAAGTTATACAGTCATGTGATAGAACTTGCACTCCACTTTAATAAATTAATTTCTGAAAAAGTAAATTTTAAAATTAATTAATTTAACAGCCATAAAAAAATCTCCCATTTTAGATGTTATAAGTAGAATCATTTGTTGTTTGAATCTCAAAGGAATCATTTAACAGAAAGAAAATTATAATTTTATAGGGATTAACCTAATACCCTTGACTGGAACAGAAATTCAGGATTGTAAGACCTTTACTTGCTCCATAATTTTTTTATTCTGGACATCACCTTTTTTTTTTTTTTTCCACAAAAGCGATTCCTTACACATTTTTAACATATATGTGGTGAAGCGAAAAAAAAAACGATTAAAATAAATAAAATTTGAATTGAAGAGAAAATTTTGATTTTTTTTGTTTATGAAAGTTAAGTTTTCTCTATTCGTATTGTGTTTGGTATTTTGTTTTTCCTTAATATTAAACCAACCAAAGGATGTAATTTTAATGTGGTGTCATTTTTTCAATCTGAATTGAATTGATGTCTCAACTCAAATAAAATAACACATTTTTTAAAATTATGTCTGACAGAGACAAAAAGGGTGCATTAACATCCATTCTTAACAATAACATGTTTGCCACAGAACTTTTTATGAACAACAATGCTTTATTCTTAAAAGTTTCTTTTAGTATAATTAAAAATAAAGATAAGTAACTATTATTTTATAAATAAATTTAACCAAACAAGTATATTATGAAAAAAAAAGAGTGTCCAATGAAATTTTTTTTATAATTTTTATGAATGTATTTATGATTTTGGGAGTTGAAAAATTTGGTAACTTATAAATGTATTTATATTTTGATTTTTTTAAAATTAATGATTATTATATATATATATATATATTTATAATTTTTTACCTTGTTTATATATATATATATATATATATATATTTTATTAATTATTAATAATATATTTAGTATTTTTTAAAAGTGGTAAAAAAATACTAGTACATCGAATGACAATCAATGCTGATCTTTTTAATATGTAATGTTATTTATCTATTTTAAATAAATGTTTTGAACAAAATTAAAAATTTTAAATTTTGGAAAGAAAAAATAATAAAAATATCTCACCAATATTAAAATAAAATATTTCTCATTTTTTAAGAACTAAACAAAATCATTTCAAAATTTATGGGATTTTCTTATGAAGAATAAAATTAAAAATCACCAATTTTATGAGAATACAAATGGATTTAAATCAACACAAATTTTCAACAAATTATATTAGAATAAGGATTTTCGTTTACGGTTTAATTTTCGATTTTTTATTTCTAAAAAGTAATATACTTATTTGATCATTTTCTTGTTCAAAAATATTTTGGTCATGATCATTAATTTTTATTATTATAAAATTATTAAAATTATTTTAATTCTTATTATAATTTTTGTATTATGTTTTTAAAATTAAAATTATCAAATAACTGTTTTATTCAACTTATTTTTAAAAACTAAAAAAACAAATCTGAATAAAAAAAATATGAAAATCTCTGAATTTTCACATATTTTCGTTTTAATATTTTTTAAAAGTTTTTTTAATATAAATATTTATGAAATAGTAAGGAACCCAAAAAGTTGGTGCGTATCTTCCATTTAATTTATTATATTTGTTTTTAGCAGTGGTGTCACTGCTTACACCCACCAGCCCCTAAACCTAAATACAGTAAAAGTACATCCACATTATCTATCTCAACAATATATTTTCTTTACACAACTTAAAACTCAAGAACATATATTTTGTCGAATAGAAAAAAAAAATTGTGGATCGATGGTAAATCAGGTTACATTTCATAATCTTAATTTGTTTTGTCTGTCTCACAAATTGGACGAGACAAGAATAAAGTGGATAGAAGCACCTGTTTTAAAATAAATTATATATTAAAATAAAGTAATTATAAAATAAAAATATTATATATATTTTTTAAATTATTAAAATTATTAATTATAAGATATTTTTTTAAAATTATTTTTTTTACACTACTTTCTTTCAATTATAAGATTAATTTGAGAAACGGAAAAGAATTGATTTAAAAAAAAGTGTATTTAGATTAAAGAAAAATAATAAAAAATTGTAAAAAATTTATTTTAATAAAAAATTAAAAATAATTAAATTACAATTGAATAAAAATTATTATTAATATAATTTAAAATATTATAATTATTTTACTTATTTTTGTTTTAATTATTAACATAATTATAATATTTATTATTACAATAATAATAATTATTTATATATTATATATAATATAATGTATACTATCTGCCACTTTCTTCTGGTCAATCTGCCATCCTCGTTTGATCCGAACATACCCACATACCCTAAAAGAGAGACCTAATTTTACTCCTACTCCATTCCACATTAAATGCATATACCTGTCATTTCTTATTTGTCTGTTTTGTCGTGGAGTCACCTTCATCTTCTATTATAACTATTTTTCACATTTTCTCCTTCCTACTCTCCTACATTTATGTTTGTGACATTCTCCATCACATGCACCAATATTTGTTTTGTAATTTTTCATATTTGTAAAACATTAACATTCTCAAGAGATGTATGGGTCCTCTGAAAGTTGGAAAAATAAATGAAGGTGCTTCAAATTTAACCACATCCTTTCATCAATTCTTTTTATGTGTGGATGAGGTCTCTTCAAGTGAAATGTGATAAGTCAAAATATCATTCATTTTTTACACATTTTATATTACTTTTATTTTATTTAAACTTATTTATTGTCTTATTCCCTTGCAGTGTCACATTTCTATTTCTCTTCCATTTAACCTCTCAATCATCAAGAATACAAAATAAAATAAAAAAGGAAGAGTTTTTGAACCACACGCACCTGATAGGAACGAACAATCCAAGTTGGAGACGAAAACTTTACTTATAATGTTTTTCCCTTTATTATATATATATATATATATATATATATATATATATATATATATAAAAGACATTTATATGTTTTCAAGAAATGCTGATATCAAATACATATAAATTTATTAACATTTTTCATAAGATAATAAGAAAATTAGGAAACAAATAGAATATTACTTTTTCTGAAATAAATATTAATTAAAAAAATAGACCGAAGAATAAACAATATTAATTAAGCAAACAAGTTATCGATTAATAAAAATAATCAGTTTTAAGCGAATGAATAGAAATGAACAGATTTAATATTATACATGATACATTTCAAAAAGTGAATTGTATAAATAATAAGATGTAGATATTGATGAAGAGAATTGCAGTGGTAATATATAGTTAATTATAAGAGTGAAGAAGATGAACGTGCAATAGTTATATTTACTTTTATTCCCCTACCCTATAGGCAACGTTCTTGGTAGAGCGATAGGGTGATGGAGAGGTTTAAGGGAGAGGATGAACAAGCACAAAAACTTGCAGAAGCCCTCTTACCACAGGAAGAGTTGGCTATTGTTGCACAACAACAACACGACCAAACCTACGAGGAACAAAGTTTCGGCAACAGATTCTGGCTGGAAACGAAGAAGCTATGGATCATTGTGGGGCCCTCCATCTTCAGCCGCCTCGCCGCCTTCAACATGAATGTCGTCACCCAAGCCTTCGCCGGTCACTTGGGTGAGGTCGAACTCGCCGCCATTTCCATTGCTAACACCGTCATCGTTGGCTTCAATTTCGGCCTCCTTGTAAGTCCTCCTTAACCTAACCAACGAATCACATTATTCATCTTCATAGATGGCCTGGTTATCATCGATATTCAGATTTCGATAATATTATTATAAAATAAAGATATTGGATATGTGAAATTATTGTTATATCGTTGCGGTTATAAGCTATGTTTAATGGTTAAAGTGAATTAACGATGTAGCTGGGGATGGCGAGCGCGTTGGAGACACTGTGTGGGCAAGCGTTTGGGGCGAGGAGATACCACATGTTGGGTATATACATGCAGAGGTCATGGATTGTTCTGTTCCTGTGCTGTTTCGTGCTGTTGCCGCTTTATGTATTCGCGACGCCGCTTCTGAAGTGGATAGGACAACCGGAGGAGGTGGCGGAGTGGAGCGGTGTGGTGGCGGTGTGGCTGATTCCTCTGCACTTCAGTTTTGCGTTTCAGTTCCCGCTGCAAAGGTTCCTGCAGTGCCAGATGAAGACGGGGGTTATTGCGTGGGTTTCCTTGGTGGGTTTGGTGGTGAATGTGGTGACTAGTTGGCTCTTGGTTCATGTGTGGGATTTTGGACTTTATGGTGCAGCTGTTTCTCTTGACATTTCATGGTGGGTTTTGGTTTTTGGCATGTACGCTTATACTGCCTTTGGTGGATGCCCTTTAACTTGGAATGGTTTCTCCGTTGAAGCCTTTTCTGGACTTTGGGAATTCCTCAAACTCTCTTCCGCTTCTGGGGTCATGTTGTGGTACTCTTCCACAACAACTTTTGTCGTTAATTAATTAACATGGGTGAATCATGTGAGTAAGTTGTGTTGAATGTTGATTCATGCAGCTTGGAGAACTGGTACTACAGAATACTGGTCCTTATGACTGGACAATTGGAGAATGCCACCATTGCCATCGATGCCTTATCTGTATGGTACATGTTCTTCTACTCTTTCTTCACTTTTCTTATTCTTCATTTTAAATTTAATAAATTCACTATATACTAACTTGTAATTCATGTAACACACATTTTTACCAACAAAATTATTTTTGTTTTTGTTTTGTAGTATGACCATCAATGGGTGGGAAATGATGATACCCCTGGCTTTTTTCGCAGGGACAGGGTACGTTGTCCATTTCATTTTCCTTCTTTCTCATTATGACAATTCTTCTTTTTTAAACCATAATATTTTCTTTATGGTAACATAATATTTTAATAAAAAATAATGTGCTCATAATTTATTATCATATTGTATAATAGATTCTAAATCGTATATTAAATAACCGGTTCTCAATTTATTGTGTTCCTATTTCAATAAAGAATGTGGTATTTCACCTTCTACCAAACACTTCAACAACACCCATAGTTATGCCTTTAGTTATTATTTTTATTTATTTATTTATTGGTTAGTTATAATAAAGGTGATGAAAGCATGGTTAAATTTTGTTGTCTTTCTTCTAAGAAAATCATCTATATTTTATTTTCTCTTTCTTTGACATAAAGTTTGAATTACTATTACTTGGGTAAGCAAAATTACCCCTCTTTTTTATATTTTTCACATTATTGAAGTACTTATTGATCTCTCTTCTGAGTTATTGTGTAACCATTTTCATTAAGATTCCATTGGTTAAGAGAAGAAAGAAAAATAGAAAAAGTTTTCTTGCCCAATCAACCAAAATACGAATGGAATCAACAACTCATAAAAAAAGTGTTGATGTGACTTTTAAAATGAAATTGATTTTTCATTCAGTTATTTATAAAAACAGGTTATTTTCGTCTTCATCAAACTGGTTTTGAATTCATTATATTTTAGGATAAACTATTTAAAGAATATCATAAATGATTTCAGTTCATTATACTATTGTTATTTACGGATGTTATTTTTTTTTTATATGTTAGAATTAGGATAACCGATATAAATTCATGTCGAATCTTGGAGTAACGAATGTAAATTTACGTTAGACCCTAAAGGTAATCGACATAAATTTACATCAATCGAGCTACGGATATATTTAGACAATTGACATATTTCACATTGAAACAACTCTTGGTTTTTATTGAATAAGATGTGAAACTTTCTTCTTAATACATAAATTTTGGGTGGTCAAGCCGATAGTGCCACAATATTATAAAATTTTTATTTTTAGGTACCACAACACAAGAGTGTGTCTTGGGTTCCGCCTCTGACGCTTCAGTCTGGAAGCAGTAGAGTCTAACACATTCTTTAACAATGCTAATCATCTTCCCTGTCTCCAAAATCTGAAATTCACATAGGTTAGGGAAGAATATAGTGACACACTTAAATCTTTTGTAAGTTTTCTAATGGACAATAAATTACAATCAAGTTTAGGCACATAAACGACTGACTTTAGGTTAATATTTTATGGGATAATAATTGAACATTTACCCATGACTTTAGAAAGAGTCCCATCAATTATCCGAACTGTGTAATTATTGTGGCAAGGAATATAGTTTTTAAATACAGTTAAGTCTATAATTATGTGATCTAAGGCTCCTGAATCACTGATCCATGACTTTGATTTTCCTGTGCTAGGATTAAAGCATGCAAGAAATTACCTTTTTGTGTTACTACAACTGTACCAATTATTTTCTAGAGAATTTTCTGTAGTGTTCCCATTTGCTCCTTGCTGAATGAAGATGGATTAGAATTTATCTCTGTTGTCCAGGTTTTTTGTCTGAAGGCTTGCCATAGATAATCCAACAGGTGTCCTTAGTGTCTCCCAATTTTTTGCAATGATCGCACTAGGGCCGATTTTTCCTTTTAGATGGACAAGATTGGTTCCCCCTTGCTGTAATTGTTGTGCCTTCTTCAAGTTTTGTGTTCAGCTATAATATGAACTTGTAGATCCTATCTTTCTCCACTAATTCTTTATTCTTCTTATCCACGAAACAACTCCATTGAACGTCTTCATATATGTCTAGTTGCTGCCAATGTCGGCTGAGTGTATTAAAATAATCAGTGACTAAGAAATCACCTTGTCGCAATTCATGAAGTATGCTCTTGACGTATTGTCCATATTTGAGTAGATTTCCTTTATTGCATTTCACATCTCCTTGGTAGTGTTATAGTACATGAAATTTTCCTCAATTTCATTGGTCATGGTGTTTAGTAATCATGACATGACTAAACTGTTTTCTAGTTGTCATTTGTTTGAGATTAAGGTCACCCTCTACTGAAGACTCCTATGATGTAATTTTTTTCCTTTTTTCTTGAAGGAAGATTTTAACTGAGCGCACCCATTGAAAATAATTTGGACCATTCAATTTGTGACCAATGATTACAAGAGCAATTCTTTTGACCAAACTGGTGTCGAACCTCCTACCTTGTTGTTCTCTTACATGATTAGCTACGCTAGGTTAGGATTGATTCAGATTGAACTCCGATACTATACGGAAAATATGTTATAAATTTCTTATTTAAAAAAAAATACAAATGAGATATAAATAGAATTCAAGATAATAAACCTATATATTAATCTATTTCTGAAAATTAGAAAAATATTATCTCTATAAATACTGCATATAAATAACAAAATAAAATTGATTATATTATTATTAAATCTTATATAAATAGAATTCAAGATAATAAACTTATATATTAATCTATTTTTGAAAATTAGAAAAATATTATCCCCATATAAATAACAAAATAAAATTGATTATATTATTATTAAATCTTATCACAATTAAATTATTTTAGACGATAATGTTGATCTCCAATATTTTTATTTTCTTTCACTCTCTCAAATTTGTATATACCAAACCAAAAAGAAAGGTATGATGAAAAAATAAAATAAAAAATAGAAGTGATCTCATGGAATTAAGTGAAGAATAGGTAAGTTTATGTTCATTGAATTGCAGAGTAAGGGTGGCAAACGAGCTAGGTGCAGGGAATGGAAAAGCAGCAAAATTTGCAACGCAAGTATCAGTGGCACAATCAACCGTGATTGGACTTTTCTTTTGCGTTCTGATAATGATGTTCCATGACTATCTGGCATACATATTCACCACCAGTTCTTCTGTTCTACAAGCGGTTGAAAGCATGTCTGTGCTCTTAGCTGTAACAATTCTTCTCAACAGTGTCCAGCCGGTTTTGTCAGGTAGACAAAGACACACTACTTTCTCTGCTTTCACGATCAGGTTACGTGACTATAATATATAATATATCTCACCCTCACTACAAGTACATCTAGACTCCACCAATAAAGTGGAAAGAATCTAACATTCCAAAGTAAGCACAGCCAAAATGAAACATATTAAAACATTAGGTTGAAGTCTTGATGGGATGGAACCAACGATGGTTGAGTTGAGATTGATATTTTTCTATTTCTTACTGCGATGATAATGTTTGAGATAATATGATAGGAGTGGCTGTTGGTTCGGGATGGCAAGCATATGTGGCATACATAAACATAGGAACTTATTACCTTATCGGGCTCCCACTGGGAATTATCATGGGATGGGTCTTCAATACTGGTGTGACTGTGAGTAATCTAATTTACTACTTATTTACCACATCAAGCACTTATTAATTCACTTGTTTTTGAATAGTTTTGAAGCCTTATAATGTGATGCTGTGCATGGCAGGGTATATGGGGTGGCATGATCTTCGGTGGCACAGCCATTCAAACGCTCGTACTCATCATAATAACAGCACGATGTGACTGGGAAAAAGAGGTATATAGATGATGAGTTTTACATAAATAAACTAGCTATACTGTATCTTATTCTGATTCGGTAGAAATTTGCATACAAACAAAGTTGAAAGTTGTCACCATAAACCATCCAATATTGATGATCAAAAGGTATGCATGTTCTAATAGTTTGTTTTGATTGGCTTTTGCAGGCAGAGAAAGCTCTCTTTAGTGTAAATAAGTGGTCAAAATCTAATTCCAATGGCCGATTGGAATCCTCCAATTAACATTTCCTGTTGTCTATGGACTTCGCCAATTCACCAAAAGCCAATTCTCCAAACAAAGGCCAAATAATGAGATTTGAATGTCAAATTTCACGATCCTGGTGAACATGCCAGAAATTACTTGTGTCATGTTTCACGTGACTTCTTGTCATATCCTATTGTCATTTTTATTTTAAATTTTTCTTTCTTTTATTTTTGTTATGTTTTCTGTTTCTATTGATTGGATGACTGAATTTGGGTTCCCGTGGTTTTTTTCACACTTTTTTAGTTTTCTATATTTTGTTGCAGATATTCATTGCTCTTTTTCATTTAAAATTTCTTAATTTATATTTTTTCAATAAAATATTACAAAGTATTCCAGTAAGAATAATTGGACACAGTATAGAAAATGGTCCAAACCTCTGTGACAATGAAAGACTGCAACTTGAAGAGGGAATAAAGGACTATTTTCTTTAAAGAGTAGTTTGGAATGCAAACATGTCAAGCAGAAGACACCAAGGAAAGGTCCTTCAGACTATCTGGGTACCTCCAATTTTTTTTTTTTAATTTAAATTAATATCATTATGGGGATAGATCATAATAGACTATGGTTGCCTATTTTTCTACGGTTTTTTTATAATAATAAAAATAGTTAGTGAAGGACGGTTTAAATATTATATAAATCTTATATTCAAATCTTCTTGTTGTAATAAAATTCTATTTTTTAATCATAAACTAATTACATTGTTTGGTATATATATATAAAAAAAAAATTCTCCGTACTCTAATCACATATATAATCTAAACATCTCAACTTTAGATAATTATCTCTTGAAAAATAATGTAATTTTTTGGGATGTACAAAAATAGTGGTAAAACTAATGTGACAGTATATGATACAATTTTTTTTCCAATGAGTCATATTTATTTATTTTACATTTTAGAAGCACCTCAATTTTTTATTTTTTTTCATTTTACCAGCACTTGAATCTTTACATAGCTAAATTTACTCTAAATTGCTTTAAATTCATAGGATTAAAGAAGGTTCCTCGGCTTCTCTCTCCACTTTTCATGAAAAAGAAAAAGTTGATTAATGTTTCTACCTTAACTTAGGTTGTGTTTCTTTGTAAAGAAAAGGCTCTGGAAAGTAGGTAATGGAGAGAAAAATAAATAAAATCTTGTCCAATAATAAAACATGTTAAGAAAATGTATTTTTTATTATAATGTATATGAGAGAAAAGTGTTATTTTATAAATCTCACTTAAATAAATCATTATTTATTTTTATGTTTATAATTTTAATTTATATATGTAAATATATATATATATATATATATATATATATATATAATTGCAACAATATGTTAAAATTTAAGAATTTTTGAAGATTATGTTAACTTGCATTATAATTTTTATTAATTGAAATTTGTTTTATAAAATGTAATAATTAAAAATAAGGGGATTTTATGTAAAAGAATTGAAAATAAAAATAATATAATTGCAACAATATGTTAAAATTTATGAATTTTTTAAGATTATGTTAACTTGAATTTTAATTTTTATTAATTGATTTTTTTATAAAATTTAATAATTAAAAATAAGGGAATTTTATACATAAAAAATCGAAAATAAAGATATATATTAGCTTTCTTTTTTTGAAAGTGAGATTGAAAGGAATATATACCCACACAGAGGTATTATATATTAATTAGCTAAAAATGGTATTTGGAACTGTGTAACGAAAAGTAATTTATTTATATATTTGTATGAATACTACATTGTTATACTAAATTTTTTTATTTCTTCTCAAGTTAATTTACATATTGATACAGATTTTAAAAACATACTTCAGAAACTCTGTTTAAATTTTTAATTAATTAACATAATTAGGTCTCACTAAATAAGAAAACTATTTATTAAGCTAATTATCTAGTTGAGAATCAAGTAGATAATTAAGATTTTTCCTTTGAAGAAAATTATTACAAATTTGAAATGTCAAATAAAAGGGATTTTAGCTTTCTTTTTTAAAATATATTTTGGAAATCATGTTGAATAAGCACAAATCATAAATTTTGTTTGACAATCATATCAAATAAATGTTTATTTTAATACCTTAATAGCCATAAGATATTTTATTTAGTTTCCGACTTTATTACTTTTTCTTCCTTCTCTTTCATCGTTGTTGTTTTTTTCTCCTATCTGTTTTCTTAATTGTTTTTAAACTACAATCATATTATTACTTCAATTATTGAAACTTCATCTTAATAACAGTTAACAGGCGAGTTACTCAACATAAACTTAAATCCGGAGTTAATAAAGCAATTCCTAAATAAAATTTAATATAATTTTTGTCCTAGTTTTTATTTTAAAGATTGTTTTTATATAATACTATTTTTTTCTATTCATCACACTCCATGTATTTTTTAATAAAATAGCAGCCACGCCTAATACAGCCAGAACATAGCAACACAAGTAGAAAAAACAAAAGTTTCCAAATCTGTTTTATTATTTATTTTTCCACAGAAATCTCTTATTTCCAAATCTATTTGTTTTTTCACTTGAATCATGCACAAACCATATAATATCGAGACCCACAAAAAAAAAAAAAAAGTAACACAAAAAAATGAAAAAGTATAGTAGCACTGCACCTCCAAATGGAAGACGCATGCTGCGGATTCCCACAAAATACACGGGAAAAAAAATGAAAAAATGAAAAAGCAACAAAAGAAAAACGAATTATTCAGTGAAAGTAACCGTTGCCATATGTCACCTTACCGTTGCAAAATCTATCCGTGGGACCGGACTGAGTTGCCCCGGGTCAAGAAACGGGTTAGTGGACCGAGGCAACTCGGCGGCGCCGGCGTTAACAACCACCGTGAGCCACTTCCCTTCAATCTCCTTCTTCTTCGCCATTCCCTTCTCCTTCGTCTTCTCAACCAAATCCCAAAACCCATTGTTCCTTCTCCTATTCACGAACAAAAGAATCAACTTTTCGAGACTCTCCTCTAATCGCCCTAAATAACCCACCAACTCGTTCAACTCACCCACCTCAAAATCCTCCATTCTCTCCCCAAGTTCATCCACGCGCAACAAAATCTCAACCTGCACGCTCCTATAATTCTCGCCCACCAACCGCACAACCTCGTACACCAACTCGTTCCTCTGCAGGTGCAACGAATCAGGGACGTGGCTTATTTGTTCGACGAAACCCACGAGTGCCTCCACCTTGTACAACAAATCCGCATTCGACGCGTTCGAAACGAGAATCTTTTTCCTTTCTTGGGTTTCGCTAGAGGCGTTGAGGTAATACCCCAAGACTCTGGAAACCGTTAGGCTCTGTTCCAACACGCCGGCGTACCACCGCACCCAAGAACTAAGTTCCACCGACTCTACGTCCGAGTCGTCGCGAAAGGTGGAGAGGTTAAGAAAGTTGTGGCCGCCGTAAGAAGGGTAACACGAGAGTTGGTCCTTCAACGTGAAGGGTCCCTTTACGACGACGTTGTGGAGCGTGAAGAGGCACTTGAGCGCCACGGTGGCGCTGCGTGTGTGGTGCAGGCGATCCATGAGCGCGTCGATGCAGGCGCGCGGGTGGCGGTGGGAGCCCTCCCCCACCGCGAGGACGGCGGCGATGGTTTCTTCAGAGGGAGGCGCGGTGAGGGCGTGCGTGGTGGCGCGGAGCACGTGCACGCGGACGGATGACACGTGGCGCTTGGGGGATAGCACCGCGGCGATGACCGAAGCTTTGTCTTTGAGGTTTTGGGCCAAATTTCTTAACCGCTTTTGCTGGGCCATTTGGATAATGAATGTCACGAAATGTGGAGAAATTGGAACATTTGTTTATATAAAAGGTTGTGTTTGTGTTGTGTGTGTTTCTTTGAGTAATTGAATTAGTCGTATAAATATACAGAGACAGAGTCAGAGATCGATCTTCACTCGCATCTCATACGGTTCAATAATTCAATTTCATGATGATTACATATTTAGATGTTGTTGTTGGGTGATTTCAGACCTTTTAATTTCATTATTTGTTTCTCCGTGGTTACCTTCTCTTGATAACGCGGTTAAGGAACCTGTTATCTATGTCTTTTAAGTTTATTGAACCCTGTTCATGATGATCTCTATAACACTGACTTCTTTTCATTTCCATTTGCATAATTAGTCACATTCGCTGGCTGAGAGATAATTTATTCTTTGCTTTTATTGACTTTTATTTATTTATTCAGTCATTATCCTACTCTCTCTCTTTTTCTTTTCTTTTTTTCGTGCACTTATCCATTTCGTCTCTGTTTTACTGAATTCTTATCCGATATATGTTTCTCAATCTTTTACTTGTTGTTCATTTTTTTTTAATTCTTCTTCTAGTCAATATTATATATATTATCTTTAACTTAATCGTGAAAGGTTTTTTTTATCCAAGTAATTTGTCTCAAGTCTAAATCCAAATAACTTTATCTAGTTTGGTAATAACTATTGATCATGAACAATATTTTTAGGATTGCATCAACCTACAATTTTCTCTCAAGGTCAAGACTCATCCTTATTTAAATATTATATATAAAGATTCTTAACCAATATTTCATCTTAAATATTACGTAGTCATTTTAATTATTTAATTTTGTGTGACTTGACATTATCTTATGTATTTCTCGTTATAGTCTTTAACGAATGACATGATTTTATGTGGTTTTCGTTATAATCTTTAACCACCAAAATGATCGATTATATATAATCTTTGTTATGGTCTCTAATAATCGGATAGAGATTCATTATATTATTCATGTAAAATAAATAGCTTAAATTTCATCGTCTTCGACTAGATACTAGATGATTATGTAATATTTAAGATAAGGGATGTTATATGACTGTTGATTGAGTTAAGTCTCAATGTCTTTGACTTAAGGCTAATGGACTATGTAATGTCAAAGATAAGAGATTCAGTATATGATTGATGCAAATGATTAACTTAAGTTTCATTGTCTTCTATTAGAAATAGAAGGACTATGTAATGTTTAAGATAAGAAATTTATTATATGATTGATGATTGACTTAAACTTCAATGTCTTCATCTTGAGGTTGTGAAACTATGTAATGTCCAAGATAAGTGATTTGGTATATTGTAACATCCTAATTCCTGTAATTATTTATTTGCTTAATTTCCTACAAATTATTATATATTTTATTGTAATAAATATTATGTAAACTTTTTATAAGTGGAAATTTTATATTGTAAAAAAAAAGTCGGTGATGTATGAACCAGTGGCCTTAATGTATGAAGACATTTGGATTGATTTTATCATAAAATTGGTGAAATTTTTTGACCAAAACTTGGAGAAGAAATTAAGTCGGTGAGTAGGCATATAAATAGGATGAAATTGGACAAAATAAACCATATGAAAACCTACATCAAATAACTCACGGCCAACTTGGAGAAAAGAGAGAGACACACCAGATTTTGAGAAGAAAAATAAGAGAGAAAGGAGGAAAGGAGGGGAGGAAAGGAGGAGAGTAAGAAGATAGGAGAAAGAAAAACTAGAAGATCTTGGAGAAATAAGGTTTGAGTTAGATGTTTAATTTTATTCATACATTTAATATTAAAGTGATTGATTTTGTTGATTGCTTCATGTTTGAAAAGCTTGAAATTTTGTTAGAATTATTGGATTATTGATGAATTATATGATAAAATTGTTGTCTTTGAATTAAATTGTACATGTTTCATATTTAATTTGGATTTGAAATTAGTTCGATTGTTTGATACTTGAAAATTTGAAATCTGGAGGTTGGACATGGTGAGGAGGATTTACTCAAGACGAAGGTTGAAGAAAGGGGCAAGATGAGAATTTTTGAAAAAAATCAAGGGTAAAATAATCATTTCACATCTTAGGGACATAAATGAAATTTTGAAAAAGATTAAAGGTATAATGATAATTTAATAATGATTTCAGGACATGGAATGAATAATAGAAAATGTTTAAGGGTAAAATAGTCATTTCACATTCTAGGGACATAAATGAAATTTTAAAAAAGAGTAAGGGTATAATTGTAATTTAATAATGATTTCGGGCCACGAAAGAAATAATAGAAAATGTTCAAGGGTATAATTGGAATTTGAAAAATAAAGTAAGGGAATAATTGGAATTTTAAAAATAAAGGTATATTAGAAAAATAATTAAAATGAAGAATATAATTAGAAATTTTAGAAAACAATCATATGGTTAATTTAAATTTAGAAATAAACTAATAGACATATTGGGTAACAAAAATCTTAATTCATTAGACACTAGAATATTTGTTAGATGTATATAAAGTCACATGAATTTACCTGAATTGATATTGAAACGATGAATATAATGCATACAACATAGCACATAGACATGATGCATAATACAAGTTCCTGAGTTAAAGAAATTTTGGGAAAAAGGAAAACAAATTGTTGAAAAGTTTTCTTTTAAATATAAATTACTATCAAAGGCATTAGTAGCGTATATAATAGTGACAATTGAAAAGATAGTAATGAAAATATGAAATTTATGTTTGAGCTACTAATGTCATTAATAGTAAATGAGGATGAGTAGAATGAGTAAAACAGGACCTTTGGTCTATAGGGGTTGGACCGTGGGTCTAGAGAGTGTTTTGGACATTGACAATTCCACAAATGACCAATCTTTATTTGATTCTGTGTCGTGGTAGCCTTCCGGATACACTGATACTGTGACTACTATCTACTTATTCGCGTTTAATGGGATATTACCGAATCACCGGACAAGGTAATGTTAAGCTCTAACTTCATTAAACTCTCAAAGGAAAAATATCCAAGGAGTATAGAGTCAAACACATGATTTTAAAGTTTTGCATTTTGAGTTACATGTGCGTATCAGAAACATATTGCATGATTAAATTGTAGATTATTCATAAATTGTATGATATTCTCTATTATAATTCCACCAATGATTTATTTGTTATGGATAAAATTAAATGTCTAACCCCATAAATATTTGAATTCCAGATGTTGGTGACGTGTGATGCATGAATGTATAATTCAATAGATAGATGTCAGGTGCAATAATCCAGAACTTAGGTTGGAGATTGTATAATATATATGTATAACTTTATGACTTGTAATATTTTGAAAACTTTGTATTAGAACCTGTAGTATGACTTTATGTAGAACTTCACTTAAAATTATCTATTATTTTGGTATATTTTCTCTTTGATGATATTATAAATAAATTTAAGCATCACCATTTTTAATTAGAGGTTGAAGGATTATGTAACGTTCAAGACAGTGGATATGTTATATGATTGATGACTTATTTAAATCTCAGTGTCATAAACTTGAGGCTGAGGGACTATGAAATATTCAAGATAAGATATTTAGTATATGACCGACATGAAATGACTAACTTAAGTCTCACCATCTTCGACTAGAGGCTGAAAGGACTATGTAATGTTCAAGATAATAAATTCGTTATATGACTAATTATTGATTTAAACCTTGGCGTCTTCGACTTGAGGTTGAGGAAGAGTCATATAGTGTCCAAACAGTCTTATCTTAATCATGATATCAGGGTCTGTTATAGGCTAATAACAATTTTAATAACGAAAATTACGTAATTTCAAAAACCTCGCTCATGATTAAGAGAGATTACCACAAATCACACTCCAAAAGTCAAATTATTTAATGTACAAAATATTAAAATATCAGGATCAAATCCCATCAAGACTAGACTTAAGATCACTGTTTTGAAAAATAGATCGGACCAGTCAGTTCAATCAGGAACCGAACTAGAAACTAATATATTATTTTCAAATAACCGAATTTTAATTAAACCAGTACAAAATAAAAAAAACGAAGACAAAATCGAAAAAATTAACTAAATTTTTAGGTTAAACTCGTAACAAAACTAGAAATTGATCTAGAAACTGATCTATTACTTCCAAATAATCAGATCTTAATTAAACTAGTACAAAAAAGGAAAAACCAGATAAATTTTTGAATTGAACGGGTTTTGATAAAAAAATATTTAAGATCAAAATTTTTTAATATAATTTTTTTTATAAAAAATTTAATTTATTTTTCTCATATTAGTTACATCAATTTTAAATAATAATTATTTTATTATATTTTTATCATATTTTAATAATTTTTTAATATATTTTATATGATAGTCATCATAATAATTTTTTTAAAATTATTATTACTTATAAATTTATTATATTATAAAAATATTATTTTATTAAATCATATTAGATTCCGATTCAACTTTTAAATCTAAAACGCATGTTTTTACTGACTAACTATTTTAACAACATTTACCGAGACAAATTCATATTCACTCTCATTTAATCAAATTGAAGTTAACGGGCATAGTCATGTTAGATGCTAATGGGCCCTGTTTGGAATCAGTCATGAAATTTCCCTTGCTCATTGTTTCTGGTGGAATTTTGATCGATTTCGATTCTAAGGGTGTTTTGGTCCTAATCAAAATTCTACCACGTAAGTTCTTTTTACTTAAGCTAGCAATTTGATTTTCAATCGAAAACGCGTATGAGAATGGAAAACTACAGGATATCGAAAATGTGGTTTTTGGTATTTTATGTCTAAAATGCTTGACTCAAACAAAACAGTAAAGTATCGAATCGAGCAAAGAGAATATTAAATTGCAAGAAAGTGCGAAAACCCCGAATTTGCAAGAAATTAAGTTTTGCGAGATAAATAAAGGACGGAAATCGAAATGTGCGGGAAATGTAAATTGCTAAAACCCATTAAAATTGCACGGAAAGTAAATAACAGG